TTTAAATAATACCCACATAGTACAGGACATCAACATAGGACAATCATTATTTTATCTCCAAGAGTATGAGCTTAGTTTTTAAAGTAAAAGAAAATATAAAACAAATATTTATAAGGTTCCTTTAATTCCCAGACTCACTACGTTAGTTGAATCTGAGGAATTTTACAATCAAAATTTCAGAGGGAGTAAAATTAGAGACAAATACCAGTAAGAATATTTTTACCAAAAAAGTCACCAGATAACTAGCAATAATACTGGGTGTGTGAGAGAGACTCGCCACTTTGTGATGTGCTTTCGACAATTCCAAAGTCCCAGATTCAACTCGTCTCTACTCATTTTTCTCATCATCTAAACCCCAAACTAGTCTCTTTCTATAACACTGTCTGTACTCATTTCCATTCCTCACATTGGCTCTTTTATTACATATCAGGTAAACCCCACCTTCCCCTTCAGGCCTTTATGGCATCTGTTTGCTAAATCACTCGACTTTCGTGGTAAAACGTTTGTGGGGTTTTAGTGAGAAGTGCAGATTCAGTTACTACGCTTAAGAATGTTGCTGGGTTTTTTTTATCGGCAGAATATGAGCTAAAGTTTTGTTCTTTTTGCGGATTCTGGGTGCATTTTGCTGCATTGTGTGCTGGGCTTAGCTTTTTGTCCTCACGGTTCAGTAACCATTTTTGTGAAAACTGGAGATTTTAGATGTGATTTGACTAAATGACTGATAGATAGGTAAACACCTCAGGATTTGTGTATTTCCCCTGTGGTTCTCCTTTTTTAATTGTATAATTGTTCGAGAATGTCAGATTGCTGGTTCTGTGTGAGTGTCCCAGTAAAGGGATTTAGTAGTCGTAAGTCATGTTTTGAAAATAATTTGTTATTATTTATTCTTTTTGGACTTTTAAGTACTTGCTAAGTCTTTTAATGTCCACGTCCCTTTTGAAGCCGCTGGTTTCATATGATTTATAATGTTTTTTCCTCTTGTTGGAGATGACGTTGATTTGTTGGATTTGTGTTTTCGTGCTTGTTAAAATATATGAAGGGGATTTTTCAGCTACGAAGAATTCAGAGAAGTTATGGAGGTCTATAGAATATTATTTTGTATATTTATTGTTGACTACTTTCATACTTTGATATTAATTTAATCTTAAATGATACCTACTCTTTATATGATAGATTCAGTTCAAACGTGAAAATTTTGGATTTTATGACGACTTTAACTCAATAATAATCATGTGGACATTCTGAATCGTCTAAACTTTATTCTGTAATCAAGCTGTTGATGACTATAACGTGCTGTTTCACTATGTCACATTTAACGTTTAAATACAAGATCCCAAGAATAAGAAATCAGTTAAGTCTAGTCTAGAAGTGATTTTTAAGGCATTGATGTTTGTTTTCTTATGTAGATTTAGGGCCCCTTCTGCCATACTGCACACATTGAAGATGGCCACCACATCATTCTCTGGTTTGCAATTTGCAATGTCAAGGTCATGCATTCCTTCATCACAGAAGACTGCAGATGCAAGTGCTGTGGTTCTTGGTGGTAAGTCCAAGATTGGATCATGGAATAAACTTGCAAGTGCATGTAATGTTGCATCAGTGCAACCTTTCCAGAGGGGCTTCACTTCATCGTCCATAAAATCTGTCAAAAGTGTCACAAAGGCTACATCTGAGTCTAGTGCAGAAAGTGCTGTCTCAGGATTGCCAATTAATCTGAAAGGTATCGTTCAGTTTCTCTGATGCTCTTTGTTAATATTAATTTTTATTTACATGTCTCGATGATGTTTAACTAGAGTTTAGGCAACATGTTAAATTTAAATTTCTGATTATTTAACCTTCTTATTCCATATTTACTACAATTATTTCAAGGTATAATAATGAGCCTCTGATTAATGTAAAGCATAACCTGTTTCCTTGCAGCCACTCAAGAGATGGTGGTTACTTGGCTGTAAAAATCTATTGAAAGTTTGCCGTTTTAACCAGGCCATTTATATAATTGTTCGTTACGTGAATAGCATCTAATATTCAGATTTATTAGTTTTTTGTTGATAGTTTAAGCAAAAGTGAGTTTTCTTATGCAATTTTGTAATTTGAATGATTATCTATCTATCTATCTATATATATATATATGGATATTTCTGTCATGGCGTGTGAAAGTTATTATAGCTTTACTGAAAATAGCAATATATGCGTAGGTAAAAGGGCTTTTATTGCTGGTGTTGCTGATGACAATGGATATGGCTGGGCAATAGCAAAATCTCTTGCAGCAGCAGGAGCTGAAATTCTCGTCGGCACATGGGTTCCTGTAAGCTATTTGTTTTTTTTTGTATAAAAAGGTGGTTACTTATTAGTTGTTATACAAATTCACTAGGTTCTGTCTGCTGACTTTTGGAACAACACCTCCTCCCCTCTAGTGCATATGTTTTCCACCAGTTCAATTATGTCCATACATTTACTGACTGTAAATAATTTCTACAGGCTCTGAATATTTTTGAGTCCAGCCTACGGCGTGGAAAGTTTGATGGGTCACGCATGTATGACTTTCAATACTGTTCCTGATTTTGTCTGTTAGACTATGCAATGCTCTGCTAATACAAAACTATGTTTTCCAGATTACCAGATGGATCAATGATGGAGATTACCAAAGTTTATCCATTGGATGCAGTTTTTGACAATCCTGATGAAGTGCCAGAAGATGTAAAAAAGAAAGGCCTAGTTTTTTTCCTTGTTTTTCATGTCAGAATTTATATCCTCATGCTTTCTTTGTTTTTTTTTTTTGGAAATTTTTGTAGATAAAAACAAACAAGCGGTATGCAGGATCCAGTAAATGGACCGTTCAGGTATACACTAGATTTTACATGGTTAAAACGGTCTTATTGTTGCCATCTTGGATAAAATTGTTGAATGATATACTTATGGGAAAAAAACTGGAATTTAAGGCTGAAAATTATGATTGCTTATTTTTATGCTTAAAATTGATTTCAGTAGACTTTTGTAGCCTTTACTAATCTGGTGTCACATGCTCTAGCGTGTTTGACATCTTTAGTCAAGAAGAACACGCCTCTTAATAGAAGCTTAAAGTCATTTTTTCTTTGTTTTCATCTCTATGACAGAAAAAGCTAAACTAAGAATGTATTTTAATTTACCCTTACACTTTTTGGTTGTTTTTCTTCTTTCCTCTCTTGTAAATGTGAACAAATGATTTTCTTATACATCTTAAGTAGTATTTAAAAACTAGAGTTTGACATATTTGATATAAGATTATTACTTTTGAATCAATATGTTTCATGCCTTGTGTGACTGTGTACAAATAGCAGTTATGACGACCTGTTGCCCTTTATTTTTGAGTACGAATTTTGCATAGGTCATTCAACTACTATTCTTACATCATATGCTCTGGATATCGTATTACAAAATGTCTTAAGCTAAAGCTACATCACTTTTTATTCTACATTAAGGAGATGATTCTTTGCCGATGTCTTTTCATTTGGCTAGTTAAGCATATGATATTTTTCTTATGGGGAGTTGAAGAACCCTGGCATTCAATGAAATATTTAAGCCTAGTGGTATTTTTGGATAATATTGTGAACTGTGCCTCAAGCTGTCCTGATTCCTGCCTGACATAATTTGTGAGCTGTAATATATCGGTTATTTATTGCTATACTTTTCAGGAAGTTGCTGACTCTGTTAAGGAAGACTATGGCAGCATAGATATCCTCGTGCACTCACTTGCCAACGGACCAGAGGTACAATAGATACGTTAATAAGCTTAAATGGTTCTTCCAGTGCGATCACAGCACTTCTACTTAAATTGAATGCCCCAATTTTTCTGGAATAAAATTCTGAAGGGAAGGATTGTGAAGGGTAATTCTTGCAATCAAGTAGCCTTACGTTATTTGGGAGACAACTAGACTCATGTGAAAAGCTCATATTACGAACAATGAGAATTCTAAGATTCTTCATCTTCTCAAATACAGTATCAGTACACAAGTGACATTAATTATGTTGTCACAAGAAACAAAGTTGGCAACTATCACTTATCATATCATCAACAAGCACTTGAAGAACATCTTCGTGAAACCACAATCTGCTGCATTCACCAATTTCAGCCCATGCTTCCTCTTTGACAATCTCTTTACCCATGTCTTGTATCAGGTCATGCATCTCCAAACATTTGTTTTGGCTGTCAACAGTTAATAAAGATTTATTAACTAATGTATCAATGCCATCTCCTGAGTTGAAGTCACATGCATCCAATACTCTATTTACATATTCTGATTTTGCCCTTTGAAGAAGCATGCAATGTCGAGAAAAATGTTTTTCTCATCGAAGGGCAAACTATCATAGCTTATTCTGAGAACTTTTTGAACATCTCGATGTGGGCTCTTTCCATATCTATCTAATGCATTCTTCCATCCACCGAAATCTTTTCCAATCATATGAGAGCCCAAAACTTTTAAGTTCAGTGGGAGGCCTTTGCAACAGCCTATTGCACGATTTGACAGATCTTCATAGTTTGTTTCAAGACAACTGTTTCCAAAGGCACTTTGAAAAAAGAGTTCCAGAGACTCTTGGTTGTTTAGCATTTTCACTTCATATTGATCCCACCAACATCAAGTAAATGTTTATCTTGTTGTTACAATGATTCTGCTCCGCTCACCATACCAAAATCTTTTTCCTGCCAAATTGTTTAACTGTTCAATGTCATCAACATTGTCGAGAAATATGAGAACTCTTTGAGTGTAGACTGTGTTTTATTCTGTTGGTTCCTTCTGCTTTACTTGCCAGCTGAATTTTACTGTCCTCAAGGATCTCTGATAGAAACCTTTGTTGCAGAAATTCTATACCCTTAATTTGATTTGAGTTTTCTCTAACATTGAAAAGAAAACATGAAACCTCAAATTCTGGTAAATGGAGTCATACAAAGATTTGACAAGTGTGGTTTTGCCAATTCCACCTGTTCCATGAATCCCTAACAATGTGATATTAAGAGACTCAAGGTTTAGAAGTGATTTCGGTTCTTCAACTCGATACTCTCGTTCTACTATATGCTCATCACTTGACAAATATTTAGGAGACACTTTCATGAAAATCTTGCTAACAAGTTCTTCTATAAACTTTGATTCATCTCTCCTAAAACATGAACAATCATCCATATATATACATTCATCAGTAAATATTTTTTTTTGCATAATCATTTAATAGAATAAGGCTACTTCATGTCGTATTACTTACCCTTGTTCAGATTTCAGATGCTCTCCTGTCATATTGACTATGACATTCAAGGTTGACCTCCATTGGAGCACCTTCTTTGAGTCTTTTCCAAACCTTTTTTCATGTCTAGTCATGGCTTCACCATAACTTCCGTTCTGATGTCTCACATCTGAGGGATTCACTTTGTAGAAGATTCGCCAAACCAACTGGTTTTTTGACTCCTTACACTCGAGGATCTTCACATGTTCATCAAGGCACCATGAAGAATCTGAATAATTTTCTGATAAAAGAACAATTGAGATGCTAGATTCTTCAATGGCTCTAAGAAGTGTTGAACCAATCTGATCTCCAAGCTTGAGTTCTCCATCATCCATGAAGGTGATAATTCCCTTCCGACACAAAGCATGATAGAGATGACAAGTGAATGTGTAACGAGTGTCTTCTCCCCTAAAACTAAGGAAAACATCATACCTGCACTTGGTTTCACACATTGCACCATCATTTGCCATCATTGATTCTCACTATATGAACTTTCAATACAATTCTCCTACATCAAACGCTACATGCTACAACTTATATAAGAAAACTAATGTTGGTTTTACATAATAAGAATAATAAAAAGAGAAAAAATCATCTCAAGCATTTGGTATCTGGCTTTAGTAAGAAGTTAGCTTTGATATAGGTGACAAAACCATTGTTGGAGACATCTCGGAATGGATATCTTGCTGCAATATCTGCATCTAGTTACTCCTATGTCTCTTTACTAAAGCATTTTCTTCCTATTTTGAACCCAGGTACGTGTCCTATCTTACATGGCTTGCATTGTATTACTTCCTACTTTCACCTATATCATTTTAACTTTTACTTTTATGGTTTGATTTTAGGTGGCTCTTCAATCTCTCTGACATACATTGCTTCTGAAAGGATCATTCCTGGGTATGTTGATTATGCCATAGAAAGTACTTATCATTCTTGGATTCATAATTTTAGACTGGCAATATTCATGATCTAAATACTGATACAGATATGGTGGTGGTATGAGTTCTGCAAAAGCTGCACTGGAGAGTGATACCAGAGTGAGCTTCCTCCCCCCAAAATTCTCCGTTTCATGGACTGACTCAGATGTGCTTCGTTGCTTCTTCTTCTTTTTTTCTCTCTCTCTATTTACATCATATTTCATACCTTTTCAGGTTCTTGCTTTTGAAGCAGGAAGAAAGCGCAAAATTAGAGTCAATACTATATCTGCTGGTAACCTCTCTCTTTTCCAATTTCCGGAGTCTTCATTCTGTCTTGCTAAGATTTCATAATGGGGAAGACGTTGGTGGGGACTGATGTGTGCCTTGCTTGGTCTGTGACATTTTGCACAAGTGCGCATAGTCCTAAAAGTTTGTTCTTTTATGCCATGTGGGTGCAAGAATCTATCAATTACATTGGTTGGGTATCTTAAATTTGTTAAACAAATGCCAGACCATCTCTTTTGTTATGTATTGGTAAATAAAAATGAGCTATTCATTTGGGCACCTATGTTTGGACTCGATTTGAATTTCCACACCCATGGTTTTACGATCTGTTGCATTGAATGCTGGCTCTAGTCAACTGTGTTCTTAACTGCCACCAAAATGATACCAAATAGTTGAGTGGTATTTTACATAATCAACACGAATTAAGTCTTTTCTGCAAACCTTGTAATTCCATTTAGATTACCTGTTTTTTGCTAGTTCATGGTTCTCTCACCCACTGCAGATAATTCCATCTCTGATAAGTTAACAAATTTCCTTCAATGTCTGTTTACATGTTCACTGAATTTAGTTTTTGTGATTAACATGTTGACACTGTATTTTTGTCCCTAGGTCCACTAAGAAGTCGGGCTGCAAAGGCTATTGGATTCATTGATATGATGATTGATTATTCATTAGCCAATGCACCTCTACAGAAAGAACTATCGGCAGGTAACAGTCATCAGAATGATTCCTTGTAATGTAAGCTTCCAGTTTCAATCTGTGACCATTTGCACAACTGAGTTGAATTTTTTGTTCTTACAGAGGAGGTGGGCAACGCAGCTGCCTTCTTAGCATCACCTTTGGCATCTGCTATCACTGGTACTGTTCTATATGTTGACAATGGTCTGAATGCTATGGGTGTTGGAGTTGACAGTCCAATATTTAAAGATCTTGACATTCCCAAAGACCAGCATTAAGTGGCAGCTACCCCACAAAAGCTAGTGTCACCGGAATTAGCATAGGCATTGGCGATATTTTTTATTTTTTTTTTGCATTCAGACTGTAGGATTCAGAGTTGAGCATTTGCTTTGCGATTTGTAGGCTTATTTTTGGAGTTTTTCCCTTACGGCTTTTAAACCTTTCTTTTGGCATTATGCTAAGAAATGCAGGTCATATGAATATGAATGTAAAAATCACATGTTCACGAGAATTGAAATATAAACTTGCAATAAAAATGTATTCCTGTGTGACGTCTATCCAGTGGATAGAATCTTGGGAGTTGTGACATTACAGAGAGTGCCTTAGCTAGCCATTGCTCTTGTTCATTATACAAGCTCGTATATAATTTTTTATACTCGTTGGTAACTTTTCATAGATTGATTGTTTGTAGGATCAAATAGGAGGTTTCAGAAACTGATATTACAATTAAGTGTTGACAGTAAGATATGAACTGAGTTGATAAATTAATAATACAAAATTACAATCATGGATTAATAGAAGTTTAACTGTCAAATTAAACTTGTGGGAGAAGTGTTCCCTTGGTCGACATGGCTTCAAAAAAGATCATTGGAAGCTCTTAATGGAAACTTTGGCCTGGGGTCCGCCTTGAACATATACAAATATACACTCAGAGCCAGGATTCAAAACCTTCTGCCATTGAGGAAGTGCATAGGTGTCCTTTTCTTCTGTTGAAGAGAGACCCCATAAAGAGCCTGTGAGGTCCTTAACTACCAACTTAAGATCTGAAATTGGCCTCGAAGAAGTATTCTTGATTATCACCCTGTGACGGTAATAGGTTGCACCTCCAACAGTCCATGAGCTACTTATTGAGTGAAGAAATTGCACCGGGGCGCCTGCAACACAACCTTATCATTCTTTAGCCAGTGATAGCAAAAGTAAAATTTGGAAAGCAACGATCATTAGCTTTAGATACCTTCTGATGTTTTAGATGCCGTTTTTTCCCCTGTATATTTGCCTATCAAGCCAAAAGATGTTAGTTAGCGATGCAATGAGAGCCAGAGCAGAACTTTTCTAAATTAAAACAAGGTTTAGACTCTTTTTTCAACTTTGCTAGTTTAGTTTACTGTATGCATATTGGGAAACCAAAGCCAGAAATAATGTCAATTATGTTACATAATGTAAAAACTAAAACTATTAGCTTCTGAGTAAACATGAAAAATCATAAATGAACGTGGAACCAAACAAGTTCTATAGACAATATAGTACTCACTCGGTGTTTTTTGTCGGGGCACTTGTGATTCATCTTGGTTGTAACCTGTGACATGTAGGAGAAAAGTGATGAGCGTTCATACTGTACGAGGAAGACAACATAGCATAGTAGTTTAGAATAGCGATTATCCCTCACATCTGGACGTGGAAGTAAACAAGTTCTATGATACTTACTTTGTGTTTTTTGTTGGGGCATTGGTGATTCATTATGGTTGTAACCTGTGACAAGAGAAAAGTGATTGAGGATTCATACTGGAAGAGAAAAAGACAATAGAGCAAATTAGTGTATGAGGGATGGAGATTACGCCTCACCTTCACCTATATTACCATGCAAACTCTGCAGTTTAGCAAAGATGCCCACAAGAGGAGCAGAACCTGAAAGTGTAGGCTCAGTTTGTTCATAATTAGATCTGTCATCAGAGAAGCCATCATTTTTATCTGGACCACCCACGAGGGCACCAAAGATGACATTAGGATTTGACTCAGCACGGTTATACCACAGCTCAAATCCTTGAGTGCAGCCAACCTCACTGTGAAGAGAAAAGATTGAAGCAATGGAAGCGCCTCTGTGGTGAACATGAAGAGGATATTTTGCTTCATATCCAACCAAGTAGCTCATATCAGCTGGGTTATTACCAAGGATATAATCAGCCTGTGTCAATCAAAATTCACAGTTTCAGTTTACTAATTAAACCACGCACTAAATCATGATGAGCAAAACTTTCATTAGATGCATTTTATTCAATTAAAATTGGAGTTTCAATGGAGTGACTAGTAGTAATCTTCTGTACAAACTTCTATTATGCAGAATTCTGAGACTAAGCAGAATTTTTATTAGAGAACATCAAACTAAAGATTTTTAGTGCAGATTGCAAAATATACCTGAGACTTAACAAAGTTGAGGAGCTCCTGAGGCTGAGTTTGTCCATCTGGGCAGTTGAGATTTGCTTTTGTTGCTGAGAGGTAATTAGAGTAAACAGCTAAAAGGAATGAAGCAGAAGAAACATACTGCATGTTGTTCCATTCACGTACATATAGTAAGCCACCTGATAAGCCGAAATAGAATGAAATGATTGTAGTTTTCCATGAATGTTCTTTTGAAGAAAGAGTATAAGAGGCTGTAGAATTAATGTTCTAAATTAGCATCTAACCTGGTGTTTTCTGGACATTGTAACCATCATTCTTTTGCAAGCAGGCACACGAAAAATAATCTGCCTTGGCCTGGTATTGCTTTAGTGTATCAGCATAAGGACCAGCTTTCCCTTCCAGTAATATCTGCAAATTAGGTAAGTTGATGAAATGATACTATATAGTTCTGTAAAGATCATATTATAATAAATTATCTTCAAATATAGCATTTATACTTTCAGAACATGAAATTGATTTAAATTAAGGGGCTCACAAATAATTACCTTTGTTAGGAGGATCTGCACACCAGCATATTTGTTGTCCCAAGAGAACTCTTTCATTGCCCAGCCAGTTCCACCCATGTATACACCATTGTCCACCACATACTTTAGGTAGTATTCATCTCCAGTTGCCAGGTGTAGCCACGTGGCAGCCCATAATAATTCATCCTACACAGCAGCAGCAGAGTCAGGCTTTTTATTTGATAATGGATACTAATGAAAGTAAAAGCAGAACAGAGCAATGCTAACTCACTGAGTAACCGGAAGAAGTATAGAATTGCTGAGCACTTGAAATAGAGTCATCATAGAGACCTCTGAACCTATCTGCGAATGTGAAGAGCTGCGACAGATTCAACATTATCAATAACAAGTTATCCATTCCATTATCTGTAAGCTATTAAGAGGTTTTCTGTAAATGTGCCTTACTTAGCCTTAATCATTAAGAGAATCAAATATCATGCGTTTTGAGATTTGTAGTCGATGTTTTTCTACAGGTTCAATTTGTTTTTAGAGTCTAAATTTTAAATTTTAACATGAAATTTGTCTTAAATTTTGATATAATACAATTTGATCCTAAATTCTAAAAATGAATAAATATAGTCTTTTTGTCATATCAAGTGGCATTTAGAGTTGAAGCTTGAGTATTTTATACCATTTGGTACATTCTAATTCAAATGTTGTCAGCCTAGAACACGGTTTAATAACACTTATACAAAGTTAAAATTTAAGAACTAAAAACATATTTATTTGTTTTAAAAGTACACCAAAACTCATTGCCCTTCAATGTCACGTGTTGCTTTTAAGTGCTATCAATGATTTTTAACCAGCAGTGTAAATTCTCACCTGTTTTGCATGAACTAGCAGAAGATCAGAGTAAGAAGAATTGTAGGGCCTGAAAGCCAAAGCTGCAGCAGCCAATGCAGCTGCAGTTTCACCTGCCAGATCAGAGCCAGGGTGTTGTTCATCAATTTTGTAGGCACCTCTTGATGTAGTCATGTCTTCAGCACGCTCCCAGCAGTAATGATCAGAAACTCCATCTCCCACCTGAAATTTGTCCCGACAGAGTAACATCAACATCTTATATACTTCAATTTTTGAAGAAGTCACATGAAGAAACTAATGTAAAAATTAAAGTGTCACTGACTTTCTCACAAGAAAGTATAGTTTGTTAAACTAAATGATCTATAGATTTGAAGTGGAGTGATAAAGATCAATAATGGCAATGATGTCAGACAACGATGACAAACTTAATGTGGTCTTAATCAGAAAACTTGCGTGTAAATGTAATACTATAATCATTAACTCAGGCAGATGAAAATTGGTGAACGAACAAAAGAACACAGTTCCTGTCTGTTGCACTTTCTTACCTGTCCCCAAAGAACATTGGGTTGAGTGTGTGCTTTGACAAAGTAATCAGTTCCCCATTTAATTGCCCATAATGCATGTCCCATTTGGTTCAAGTTCGTAATTTCCTTGCTGAATTCGATGGCTCCCCATGCAAGCATTGTGACACTGTAGGCCATTGGCAACCCAAACTTCACATGATCTCCTGCGTCATAGTACCCTCCCACCAGGTCCACCTGCGTAATCACGCAACAACAAAAATGAAAACACAACAAAATGGACTTAAGTTTTGTTAAGAAGTGGACTTAAGTCTAACCAGACATGGATTGTGAAACAATATGTAAACACAAATCTTGCTAGAATAGACTTTAACCTGATTCTGATATCATGTTAAAAAGTGAACTTTAAAACTAACTAAATCTCACAAAACCGACTTGTAAGGTGAGGTTTGCACTAGCTTATATTATAAATTGACTTTATCTTTAGTTTATATGGAATTTCTAATAAGTTTAACTCAATTCTATAAAATCGATTTGTAAAATGAGATTTCGACCGGTGTGTCAACAAATTTAATATTACACTTTACAACTGATTGAGTTATGATGATATTAACTCACTCCTTGCTGAAAACCATCTTGGAGGCCAGAATCACCACGCCACTTGACTCGCTGCTGCAGTGGTAGCTTACCAGATCTTTGTGCTTCAAAGAACATCAAACTCTTGTCAAGGGCATCACCATAGTTGAAGCTTGATGGTGCACTTCCCCCTAAGCGAACAAGAGCTATGAGAAGCACGCACAAAGAGATGTTCAGGTTCTTCATGTTCATGATGATGTTCAATTTGCAGCCTCAGGAAATCAGAAAATGTGACCATATAATATAGAATTATAAACTAAGGTTTCCTTATGCATGCATTGCATTGCGTTCCTAATTCTTATATATAAGAAGAAGAAGAGGAAAAAAAGAAACGGTTTGGTGAATAGGTGGTAGCCATCACGTTCGGGTTGACATTGTACAAATGAAACATTCGCAAGTACGAAGAGGTTCTCACGTTTGGACGTGCCAATGTGTAAACTATATTCATACTTAATGGGTGGTGATACCCTGCTGCACCTCTATAAGGTTGAAGATATGCCGCACCAATCTGAGCCGTGGATCGTCCTAAATGTTTTGTTTATCTTATTGGAGACCTATCTCGAATCTCTTCCATTTTCCAAAAATATGTAAACTAGAATCTTTTAGTACTGATAAAATATTATATATGACACAAAACTAAATAATTTTGTATTCACTGTTTTAATACCATTTTTTATCCCATAGTCGTTGAAATGATTTAATATAGTTTTCATTTTTTTTAATTAATGTAGTCTTTATATTTATTTTATTAAATTAATGTTGATGATGTTTAGTGGGTGACAATGTATTAATGTTATTGTTGGATTATGACACTAATCTTTTATTGCCACGTGTCATCTACATAACCACGTTGTCTCTTTGTAAATGACATTGGCATCAATTTAATGGGAGAAAGACATTAGCTTTTTTTAACAACGAAAAAGAAAACATTACGAGACAACAACGCTTAATAATTCCGATAAATTTTGGGATCGATATTAAACTAAAAAAAAAAAAATATATATTTTAAATTATATTTACTAATTTAAAAATGAGAGATCTCTTTCCCCTATTGATAAACACGTGGGTGGTGTATATGTAACTTATTAATTTGCCAGAAAAGTATTTTTAATGAGAGTTAACTCCATTGTTTTTTTTATTATATTTTTATCTACACACATTAAAATATGGTGGGCTATCATGATGAATGTATGGCCCACGTAGTAACTGGCAGGCCTGGGCCTGGCCTGCTTTAAAAGTTTTAATGGCTGCAGTTGTGAACGGCGGCCTTCTATCAAAAGTTTTACAAACTGCTAATTTTCGACAATATGCAAAGCCGAATTTGGAATATATATTTTATTTATAATACTAAATTGTCTCTTTTATTTAATGTCTGATATATTTTTAATTTTGTTCTTCAATCTATTAACTTGTTTTAATAATAAGAAAGAATATATATTTATCATATCATAAATTGTATTATTAATATTTATCATGGAATTGACTACATACCATTCTTTATAAGTTTTTGTTTCTTTAACGCGTATAGTTAACTTTTATAAGTCTAAGTTGGTGTTTGGATTAGCATTCAGATCCTTTTAAAAGTATATTGGGGGCAAAAGATATTTCTTTCTCTGAAAAAGCAATGAATTTGTATTGGCATCACAATGCTTAAAACAAGGTTTTGAATTAAATATAATAATAAAATAAAAAAGAGTAAATTCTGACGTGAATTGAAACTTCACAAGAACAAACAAATATACAAACAGAAACAATGAAACTTATACTTTATTGATCATTGAATGAAAGATTAGATACAATTACATGAATGAAAAAACCATTTAACACTTGTTTTGGTGGAAATGAATAATCTGTGAAAGGAAACACAGTAAGAATTGATATATATGTCCATGAACTTAGTTGATAGAACTGCAAATGTTTCTGATAATTCCAGCTGAACCGGTTAAAGGCTGAATATCTCCCATTTTGATCATAGCAGCTGCAAAGTCAGATTTAAACGTTGTAGGATTTTTGCTGTATTCGGACACAATAGAGTCTGTAGAACCTCCACTGAATAGAACTTGATCTGAGTGAAGAAGACCCTTCTTCTGAATCAAATTCTTGAAGTAGTTGTTGTCAAATGAATTAGGTGTCACCAAATCAAGTGCTGCCAATTTCTTGTCATTATCTTCATTGACAACTAATGGACAACCTCGTTGACGAGTGCTTGCAAATCCAGCATCAATGTCACTTGCATTGTTGTAAATCCTTCCACGGAATGTGAAACATTGAGCTTGCCCAATTGTGTGAGCACCTGCATGCATGCATTACAACATATAACACATAAGAAAAAACTATATATACTTTGAAACCAGTGACAGAACAACATAAGCTATTTGATTAATCAATTACCAGACAGAGTAACCATGTCTTTTGCAGTGAGTCCCTTCTTTTCGAATCTAGAAATAAGAATGTCAAGATCGTCTGTGAAAAGTGGAAGGTCACTGGTAGCTTCACTTTTGCTTGCTGTGGTAGAATCTCTTCTTCCAAGTTTCACAGTCCATGATGGACCACCCACCTGATCAAGAATTCAGAAAAAATGAAAGATTAAGTCATTAATTGCTATATATTATTAGGTTAAAATCATCAAACACTTGTCAATCTAAGCTTGTTACTCACAGCAAATGATGCATCACGAGCAGCTACTGCTAAAATGTCTGCACATGATACAGTTCCTGGACAAACTTTCTCCACCTCAGTTTTTGCTTGATCGATGACGCTAAATCCCCTTACTGAGTTAACATTCTGAAGTGCAGTCTTTTCACTTTCGATGGAGGAGCTATCATCAAGCAAAATCGATGCATCACAACCCTGCAATGCATATGAAAACATTCTCAGTTATTGTTGATGAATCTATGCTCCAAATTAAGCTTAAAAGTACGTACATGTATACGGTATCAATTAATGAATACAAATGAACTAATGTGTATGTATATACCTGAACAAAGCAGTCGTGAAAATGAAGACGAATAAGAGAAGCAGCCATTCGGCGTTCCTTAGAAACTGCAGTACGAATGACAGTTCTGATGGTGGAAAGTGCATTGGGACATGTACTGTCATAAAACTTAGAAGATAATTGTGCATCACATACTGTGGCTAACAACACCAACGTAGTGACAACAAAACCTATGCTTGGATTTCTATGTGCCATGAATTTGTCTTGTTTTTTGGAAGGTTAAATATGAATTGAATATGTGTAAGTGTAACTAGCACTCAAAAGAAGAAAGGAACTGATTGATACTTAAGAATAAAGAGAATGAATGAAGATGATGGAAAAAGAGGGAAGAATGGTGGTGAATTTATAGGGCATGATTTGGTTGTGTGAGAAATTGCCATAGTCAATGAATGTACAAAAGCTGGCTAGGTCACTATTATCTGCTGCAGCGTGTTTTTGTGGGTTGATGGCGCGGTCGGAGTTGACCAGGTATAATTGTTATCTAACATGAATAAAGTTATACTGTAACCCCAAAATGGTTTGGATTACTTCAATTTTGCTTTCCCAAGTTTGATCCTCGGGAATAATTAAATAAAAAAATATTAATTTGCCTCACATTTAAAAAAAAAATAAAAATAAATAATTGACTTTTATTTTAACGATACGTCGTCATAAATTCTGACAATTTATTCATAAAATTTTAAGAAGATAAAGTCATAACTTATCATGACTATTTTTGTAAATTTATTAAAGTAAAAGTTATTAAATCTTATAACGATTTTCAATTTAAACTAAGTTCATCCTAACTTATGACCATGTTGTTAAGATAAAATTTAATACTTTAGTTTATTATGAACTGAAAATTGTCATAGTTTTAATGATTTTAATTCAAATTAAAAGTTATTATAAGTCCTGACAATTTCGAATTTATAAAAAAATCGTCATGTCGACTTCACTTATAAAAAAAATCATTAAAACTTATGAGGACTTCAACATCAATTTTCTAATGTAAATTAGTGAATAAATTACTTTATTTTTAAAAAAATTGTCATTAATTGCATTTTTTTTTTGTTGAAGAGAGGGTTTGTTGCTCTATTTCACGTGTTTTCGTGTTGCATGCATTTTTGCATTTTTCTATTAATCTTATCATATCAGAAAGCTTCCTCGAAAGAGACCTTGTCGCCTTGATCTTGTCTTTATGTTTTTCACATTATACTGTTTAAATAACAGATTAATTTGACCAAAAAGAAAGTTGCAAAGTATCTTGATTATTGTGATTGAAAACAGTATCCTTTGGATGACAACGGGTCGAGTCGGGTACGGATAACGCCTACCATAATTTGACTTGACAAAAAAAAATCCACCCGTTACCTGACCCGCTACCTGCACGGATACCCGCTAAAAAATATCGATATTTTAAAACCTGCGGATACCCATAGATGCCCGCGGATACCTACAAATATTTAGAAAATTATATTTTTATAAAATAATAAAATAAAATTTAAATAAAATTACAAAAAATATATAAAATATAATTTAAATATAATTTAAAATTTAATTTTAATTAAATTTAACCTTATAAAATATAAATTAATGTTAATTTTAATTAAATTTAACTTAATAAAATATAAATTAAATTTTTAATTTTTAATTTTTGCAGGTAGCGGATATCTACTCGCATCTGACCCGTTTATAAGTGGGTATTAAAATATCCGCTATCTGCAACCAGCGGATAGTAAATATTCGTGGATATTAACTATCCATCACGGGTTTTATCCACGGATATTCCCGAATGCGAATTTTTTTGTCATCCCTAAATATCCCACATCATAATTTTGATTCATCCATTTGTACAACTAGAATAATAGATAGAATTGACGTCAATATATACAAAATTTACTATTACCCGTTCAATAACTTTATATATAATCTACATTAATTAACTATCTTGATGCCAAATTTTATATATAAAAGTATCGATATCATATGATAACAATTAAATAATTTCATTTTAAAGAAGAATATATTGAAAATATTAAATAATGTTATATTTTTTAAACTAAAAGTTATTAATGATTGATTTATATTAGAAAACCGATTTAATTACCTTTAGCGAAAAATTTTCAATCATATTTTGTTTTCAAAATTCGAATTTAAAATTTTCCCTCTTAAAGAATAATATGTTAGTTGCAAGTAATTTTTTTTAATATAAAAAAAAAACTATACATTTTACATATTGTAGATAATGTGTACATTAAAAAAAAACTAATTGCTTTTTATTTCGATAAGAGTTATTACTAGTCACTCTGAATAAATGTATACGTACCGAATCAAATTAAGGAAAAGAAAATAAAGTCGTGGATGAGAACTTTCTCTTTTTGATGTCAACATCAAGAATGGCAACTATATAAAGAATCAAATTCAGAATAGATAATTGTTATAATCAGAAAGTCAACTACAATTTCGTTAGCAAAAGTATGTATAAAAAAGTCAAACTGACTAATCATACAATTTACCGTTAGCAAAAGTATATATAAAAAAGTCAAATTGGCTAATGATTAAGGAAACCCTGGCCAAATAAAATAATTAAATTAACCATTAGAGTGGCAAAACCACTAAATATTGCATGGTAACAATGGTTAGATGCTAAACAGTACAATATTTATGCCTGAGAGACGATAAAAATTTCAATAGAGAAACCCTGATCAAATAAAATATTTATTTATTTATTTATTTATTTTCTTAATTGTACGTTCCATCTATTTTATTCCACGCACTTTTCCTCCCATGCTAATTTACAAACAAATTATACAATATATTTGATTTTGAAAGTTTCCAATACTAATAACTAAGTACATATGCATACACAATATTCAAAATGAAAATTCAATATATATTGTAGCACGTGTCTGTGATTATGGTACAACACAAACAGACAAACATGTTCGTACAAGTTTGTTCTGCATTATCTTGGAAACTACCCACCGTTCATGCACATATACGAGGAAGAGCTTGTCATCACTTATTACATGCAAAGTTTTTCCTTATACTAAGATATATTCAAAACAGAAAATGTCAAAATAACGAACATACCACCAGCTGGAATTAGCGACAAAACAACAAAGGATAATGAATACAAGAATTGGTCCAAAAGCTTTCGTACAATGTATATGGTAAGCTGCCACCTTTAGCACAACACCGCGTTGAGCAGATTTTAATGACTGCGAATGATTCTAACACAAACTAAAACCTCCTATAAATTCACTGCCATTCCACCGTCTTTTTCCATCGTCTTCATCTTCATTCTCTTTCTTTATTGTTCAATTAATACCAATTATTCTCTTCAGCGTTGAGTTAAATAATTGATTCAGTTCATTGTATTTAATATTGGAACGTGACATTCATAGATGGCGTGCAGAACTTCAAGCATAGCAAGTTTTGTTGTCACTACGTTGGTGTTGTTAGCCACAATATCTGATGCACAATTGTCTTCTAAGTTTTATGACAGTACGTGTCCCAATGCACTTTCCACCATCAGAACTGTCATTCGTACTGCAGTTTCCAAGGAACGCCGCATGGCTGCATCTCTCATTCGTCTTCATTTTCATGACTGTTTTGTTCAGGTATATATATACACATTAGTTCATTTGTATTCATTAATTGATACCGTATATATGTATGTACTTTTAAGCTTAATTTGGAGCATAGATTCATCAACAATAACTGAGAATGTTTTCATATGCATTGCAGGGTTGTGATGCATCGATTTTGCTTGATGATAGCCCCTCCATCGAGAGCGAAAAGACTGCACCTCAGAACTTTAACTCAGTAAGAGGATTTAATGTCATCGATGAAGCAAAAACTGAGGTGGAGAAAGTGTGTCCAGGAGTTGTATCATGTGCAGACATTGTGGCAGTAGCTGCTCGTGATGCATCATTTGCTGTGAGTAACAAACTCAGATTGACAAATGTTTGATGGTTTTAACCTAATAATATATAGCAATTAATGACTTAATCATTCATTTTTTTCTGAATTCTTGATCAGGTGGGTGGTCCATCATGGACTGTGAAACTTGGAAGAAGAGATTCTACCACAGCAAGCAAAAGTGAAGCTACCAGTGACCTTCCACTTTTCACAGACGATCTTGACATTCTTATTTCTAGATTCGAAAAGAAGGGACTCACTGCAAAAGACATGGTTACTCTGTCTGGTAATTGATTCATTTATCATATATATGTTTGAAAACATTTACTAATTTATGTTTGTACAGTTAAGGGTGAGAGAATTATATATTAAAGAAATGTTGTGTATGTTAATGCATGCAGGTTCTCACACAATTGGACAAGCTCAGTGTTCGACATTCCGTGGAAGGATTTACAACAATGCAAGTGATATTGATGCTGGATTTGCAAGCACCCGCCAACGGGGTTGTCCATTAGTTGTCAGTGATGATAATGACAAGAAATTGGCAGCACTAGACTTGGTGACACCTAATTCATTTGACAACAACTACTTCAAGAATTTGATTCAGAAGAAGGGTCTTCTTCACTCAGATCAAGTTCTATTCAGTGGAGGCTCTACAGATTCTATTGTGTCCGAATACAGCAAAAATCCTACAACTTTTAAGTCTGACTTTGCAGCTGCTATGATCAAAATGGGAGATATTGAACCATTAACCGGATCAGCTGGAATCATCAGAAAGATTTGCAGCTCTGTCAACTAAGTCAAGTTTTTGCCTTCCCTCCTGTTTTTTAAAGTTTTAATAATTCGTTATTCAATTGTTTGTTGTTTCTATTTCATTCGTCAATTGTATTTAGTTCTAACTGTATGTATTCTTATCAATTTATGAAAACGAAATTCTATTTAGTGGCCATAACTTTCATTCTTATGCCTCACGTCTGAGGGATCCACTCTGTAGAAGATTGGTCAAACGAGCTGTGTTTTTATGATTTAGTGGAGATTCCCCAACACAACACAAGGCCTACCTTTCTCATGTGAATTATTATCTTTTTCCCTGTAGACAGTATAACAGTTAGGAAATTGCCACGTGTTTTAAGAATCAATTGTTAATATATAAGTAAAAATACAATTTATACAATATAGCCGGAATTCACATCATGAGTTGTTAAGTAAACAAATTCTTTAATCCATTCAAGCAACCTTAAGTTATTTCACAGATATTGTTGCCACAATCAAATGAGTGTTCCGAACAATCAGCATTCTAATCTTGAGGTTCATATATGCATTATGTGATAAACGAATAAGTTGCACTACAGAAGAGGGTATCTAGCAATATTCCTTCACTTTCTCTACTTCCTCAAAGTATACGGCAATATTGTGAAGTAAAGGGTTCAGCAGTGTGATTGTTAGGATAATGAAAATGTTTATCAAGTTCTGCAGTTGCCAGCATATCCAACTGCGCATCCAACTCCTTGTCCCTCTCGTCTTCAATGTTCATTCCTGATCTTCCTTCCTCCCCTCTCAAGGCCATGACCCTTCTCGATGCTTTTTCCAACACTCGACTACTTTCACCTTTAAAAGAGCGGAGTTTTCGAGCTGCAGTGCTCCACATATGAAACTCCCTATGCATTTGTGGTATATTCAAACTTATTATCTTGCTTTCTATTTTATCCATATCACTGATCATCTTGTGACGACTCAACACCAAAGAGGAACTTGGATGTTGAGTCATGAAGTTGATGTCATCCATGTTGGTCTCAGTTTTGTAGACATACACTCCCCATGAACATAGACTCAAATTTGTTTCACAGAAAACTTGTACGGTCTTCCAATCCTCATCAACCCCAAATCCTACATCCTCCCATTCCTCCAAACTGAACAAAACTCGTAGGTTACACAGCAACACATGATTCTCGGCCACGCTGAAATTATGGTACCGTCTGCGTTCACCTTCAATGAATAAGTGCATTCCGACAGTTCTCCAGCGACCTTCCATTATTTCTCTGTCGGCTTTGGCATCCACTACACCAAACACTAAAGCTAGAACAACAGCTGGGAACTTTCTACGGGCAGTGAAAACAGGAAACCCTCCCTCATTAACATGGTCGAACCATTCTGGAATGTCACTTTCTGGCATCCCCACTTCTAATCTTTTCATTTCTTTACGGACCTGTGAAACATCCCACGAACCAGAAAAGAAACTTACATATGTCCTTTAATAAACTCCACTGTAAACTACATAGGTTTGAGTTTTCCATTCTTATATATTTTGTTTTGTTAGAATGAAATAATATGCAGAGGAAATTGTGGAACTAGGCACAAAAAGATCTCCTAAAGACCAAGATACGTTGTTGGCTATGTAAATATATATTAGTAAAAAGTGCTACTTAACCTGACTCCACAAGATGTTTGATGACTTCGAACTTAAGGAATAGCAGTATTTTGCATCTACTTTCTGAACTCTTGACGGCAGTTCTGGAATTTCTTGAAGCACATCACAATACCTCAGGTGAAGACTTGTCAAGTTAGTAGATTCTTTAATGCATGCTGGGAGATACACAACTGGGTTGCACGATATATTTAAGTCTTTCAAGTTAGGAAAATGGTAAATAATCGTACGAACATCTTTCTCTGATAGATCAGCATTGTCGAAATGTAATGTCTCAAGTTTTGGGCGAACTGAATGACTTCCTTTGAACCTTGTAAATGACTCTCGAAGCCGACGACATCCTCCAATTTTTAATGTGACAAAATTTGGCAACATAAATAAGCTACCTGGTATATGTTGAAGTTCCTTGCAATCTGTCATGTCAAGATAGTTAAGCCCAGTAAGTTTCTCAATTGATTCTGGAAGCTCGGTAATAGCTGTATCCAACATATTAATCTTCAATTTGCTGTTCATCGTTCCACTGATCTCTGGGAAGAATGCTAGTTTTATGCAGAGGTTTAAGGAAAGGTATTCGAGAGAAGGCAAATACATTGTTGGCACAAACTTTGAGAGTAGGATGCATTCTGAAGCACTTAGAAAAACAAGGTTAGCGAGAAGTCCAACTGATTCATGAATAGTAACCAGTTTCTCGCATCCATCGAGTCTCAATTCTCTTAAATTTTTGGCCCCAGACACATCGGGAAATTCAGTAACCATATTACAATAAGATATATTCATATAAGTCAAAAGCTGAAATCTCTGCAAAAACGTAAGTAAATCAATTAATTAACAACAATTCATCCACATCATGTCAATTGTTTTCGAGGAAGATGATTGAAAGAACAAATGTTTATCTACAGTTAGATCGAGTAATCTAAACAAAAACCACCTGTACCTTAAATGGTTCTTCCAGTGCGAGTACAGGACTTCTACTTAAATTGAATGCCCCAATTTTCCTGGGATAAAATTCTGAAGGGAAGGATTGTGAAGGGTAATTCTTCCAATCAAGTAGCCTTAAGTTATTTGGGAGATAACTAGGCTCATGTGAAAAGCTCGTATTACGAACAATGAGAATTCTAACATTCTTCATCTTCTCAAATACAGTTTCAGTACAATTAATTTCTTCTCTGTGAGGGGGATCAAGCATTAGTCCTTGAATCTTCCCACTTCCCTTTAAAATAATCACAAGTTACATTAAATATGTTGTCAAAACTTTAAGCTAACATGTTTGAAAATGATAAAAATCTAGAAACAAAGTTGGGAACTATCACTTACCATATCATCAGCAAGTACTTGAAGAACATCTTCGTGAAACCACAATCTGCTGCGNCAATTAATTAACAACAATTCATCCACATCATGTCAATTGTTTTCGAGGAAGATGATTGAAAGAACAAATGTTTATCTACAGTTAGATCGAGTAATCTAAACAAAAACCACCTGTACCTTAAATGGTTCTTCCAGTGCGAGTACAGGACTTCTACTTAAATTGAATGCCCCAATTTTCCTGGGATAAAATTCTGAAGGGAAGGATTGTGAAGGGTAATTCTTCCAATCAAGTAGCCTTAAGTTATTTGGGAGATAACTAGGCTCATGTGAAAAGCTCGTATTACGAACAATGAGAATTCTAACATTCTTCATCTTCTCAAATACAGTTTCAGTACAATTAATTTCTTCTCTGTGAGGGGGATCAAGCATTAGTCCTTGAATCTTCCCACTTCCCTTTAAAATAATCACAAGTTACATTAAATATGTTGTCAAAACTTTAAGCTAACATGTTTGAAAATGATAAAAATCTAGAAACAAAGTTGGGAACTATCACTTACCATATCATCAGCAAGTACTTGAAGAACATCTTCGTGAAACCACAATCTGCTGCGTTCACCAATTTCAGTCCATGATTCCTCTTTGACAATCTCTTTACCCATGTCTTGTATCAGGTCATGCATCTCCAAACATTTGTTTTGGCTGTCAACAGTTAATAAAGATTTATTAACTAATGTATCAATTCCATCTCCTGAGTTGAAGTCACATGCATCCAATACTCTCTTTACATATTCTGATCTTTGCCCTTTGAAGAAGCATGCAATGTCGAGAAAAATGTTTTTCTCATTGAAGGGCAAGCTATCATAGCTTATTCTGAGAACTTTTTGAACATCTCGATGTGGACTCTTTCCATATCTTTTTAACGCATCCTCCCATCCAACAAAATCTTTTCCAATCATATGGGAGCCCAGAACTTTTAAGGCCAGTGGAAGGCCTTTGCAACAGCCTATTGCACGATTTGACAGATCTTCATAGTTTGTTTCGGGACAACTGTTTCCAAAGGCACTTTGACAGAAGAGTTCCAGAGACTCTTGGTTGTTTAGCACTTTCACTTCATATCTGTTGTTGATCCTACCAACATCAAGTAATTGTTTATCTCTTGTTGTTACAATGATTCTGCTCCCCTTACCATACCAAAATCTTTTCCCTGCCAAATTTTTAAACTGTTCAATGTCATCAACATCATCAAGAACTATGAGAACTCTTTTTGAATATAGACTGCGTTTTATTCTGTTGGTTCCTTCTGCTTTACTTGCCAGCTGAATTTTACTGTCCTCAAGGATCTCTGATAGAAGCCTTTGTTGCAGAAATTCTATACCATTAATTTGATTTGAATTTTCTCTAACGTTGAAAAGAAAACATGAACGCTCAAACTGCTTGTAAATGGAGTCATACAAAGCTTTGGCAAGTGTGGTTTTGCCAATTCCACCTGTTCCATGAATCCCTAACAATGTGATATTAGGAGACTCAAGGTTTAGAAGTGATTTCAGTTCTTTAACTCGATACTCTCGTCCTACTATATGCTCATCACTTGACAAATATTTAGGAGACACTATCATGAAAATCTTGCTAACAAGTTCTTCTATAAACTTGGATTCATCTCTCCTAATACATGAACAATCATCCATATATACATTCATCAGTAAATATATATTTTTTATAATCATTTAATAGAATAAGGCTACTTCATGTCGTATTACTTACCCTTGTTCAGATTTCAGATGCTCTCCTGTCATATCGGCTATGACATTCAAGGTTGACCTCCATTGGAGCACCTTCTCTGAGCCTGTTCCAAACATTTTTTCATGCTTAGTCATGGCCTCACCATAACTTCCATTCTGATGTCTCACATCTGAGGGATTCACTTTGTAGAAGATTGGCCAAATTAGCTGGTTTTTTGACTCCTTACACTCGAGGATCTTCACGAGTTCATCAAGGCACCATGAAGAATCTGCATAATTTTCTGATAAAACAACAATTGAGATGCTCGATTCTTCAATTGCCCTAAGAAGTGTTGGACCAATCTGCTCTCCAAGCTTGAGTTCTCCATCATCCATGAAGGTGATAATTCCCTTCCGACACAAAGCATGATAGAGATGACAAGTGAATGTGAGACGAGTGTCTTCTCCCCTAAAACTAAGGAAAACATCATACCTACACTTGGTTTCAAACATTGCACCATCATTTCCCATCATTGTATTCTCAATATATGAGCTTTCAATACAATTATCCTGCATTTCAAACACTACATGCTACAACTTATATAAGAAAAGTAATGTTGGTTTTACGTAATAAGAATAATAAAAAGAGAAAAACTCATCTCAAGTTATGCCTAAAATAGTTTATTTAAAATAATGAAAACGTGGTATGCACGACGTATCATTTGATTAATTCAAAATCACTGTACAACTATAATATAAACAGTATAACATAATGAAGCATGATCATTGAATAAATTACTTATAAAATAAGTAATAAATATGATAGAGAAAGAATAAAATTCATCTCGCATTATGCCTTTGAACATCTAAAATGTTTATTGAAAACTGAATCAGGATGTGGACGACTTTACTATAGTGCACCAGATCTCCCCTTATTTATTTTGGGAAAGCTGGTGGCCGCCTGTGAATCCACGGCAAGGAGCGGCCTGATTCGACATTGTTGCTTACTCTGATCCCGTCGAGGTGGTTTTCGTTTACCAGCGCGTAGTCTTTTTGAAGTAATTTTCTTTTTACTTTTTTTTTATCAGCAAAATACAAAAGTACATAAAGTGGTTTCTAATTACATTCATATCCAAAAATAAATAAATAAATATTTATCAAAACCTTCATTTTGTCTAAATTTATTATACACTTATCTTTTTCTTTTTATCTCTCTTCTTTTATATTCATAAACCATTACTCATCATGTCCTCTTTTTATCTTTGTTCCAAGTATTATTTTGTGGTGTTAGAAATAAAAATACAAATGGGAATTTTGACTATTTACTCCAATGACATGTTGTACCAAATATTTATATAAATAGCACTATTTTTTGTTTTTCATCTTTTCGGCATAAGAATTCATTTTTTTAAATAGTTTATTTTTATCCTCTGTTACCTAAATAAATTACATATTAAGTAAATATAAATGTAAATTTATAAAAATAATCTTATATTAAAAAATATATTCTAAGTCAATTTTGATTTTTTATTTGGGTTAAATATGTTTTTAGTCCCTGAAGTATCAGACGATTTTGTTTTTAGTCCCTACTCAGAACTTTGATGGTTTTTAGTCCTTATTGTTTTGAAACTCTGAGTATTAGTCCTTAAAAATGGACGGTGTTAAGTTTTTGTGGATGTGACAAAAGGCGATGCCACGTGATCACTGATCTCTGCCTTCACTCTCTGCCACGTGGGATGTTTAAGTGCTGAACTGAGATTTTAAGTGTTTAATTGGGGAAAAGTTAATTGGGCAATTAGGGTTCTTGGGGTTGCAACAGGGACTGAGATTATGGAGAATCCTCCATTGCCACTTCTTCTTCCCCGTGTTGATGTTCTTGCTCTTATTTTCGCGCTGATTAGTGTATGTCTAACAACTTCAGCACACCAAAATCCAGAATTCGCCAAAGCAATAGAGGAACATTATCTTCCAACTAAAGAAATCAATGTTCAAAACAGCTTGCTAACTTACATTGTTTGCGTTGAAAGGTCTGATGAGGGTGGTGATTCTCTTCGGTCTAAGGACTTGCTTGGTTGGTACCGTTCACTCCTTCCATCCAGTTTGGAATCTGATCAGAACCCGCGGCACATTATTTTCTTATACCGCAAAGTGATGGATGAATTTGCAGTAGAATTGACCCCAGAAGAAGCCGAAGCTCTTCAAGAGAAGGAGGAGGTTGTGTCAGTGCGTCTTGAAAGGACCTATTCATTACACACAACTCATACTCCAACGTTCTTGGGGTTGCAACAGGGATTGGGATTATGGAGAATTAACAATTATAGTTTTTCCCAATTGAAAAAATTAACTTTTCCCCAATTAAGAACCCTAATTGTCCAATTAAGAATCCTAATTGTTAATTTGATTTCAATCAAGCACGTGCCAATCACTTAACATACTTAATCTCATTTGCAAAGTTAATCGACAGAAAGAGAAGAAGGCAGTTGATTTTTCACGTGGCAACGCCGTTTGCCACCTCCCCTAAAACTTAACACCGTTCAGTTTGAAGGACTAAAACTCAGAGTTTCAAAAGTTTAAGGACTAAAAACCATCAAAGTTCTGAGTAGGGATTAAATCCTAAAACGTGTGATACTTAAGGGACGAAAAACATATTTAACCCTTTTTATTTATATAATTTTAAAATTTATTTAGTCAAAATAATATTAATGGTAATAACTATGAATAAAAGGAAATGGTGTTTTTTATATAAAAGAAATATTTTTATTAATTATTACTATTTCAGTTTGAGATCAAAATCAATTGTTTGATTTTTAATGTGTGTCGAAGTTCTATTTGATGAGAAGTTTCTTATGAATTTAAATGGATGATATTTGTCAAAAGTATTCCCTCAAAGTAAGATTAACTTAGACAAATAATAATTAATGTTGTAATTAATGTATAACTTATTTTCTTACCTCAATCCTTTATTTATACATTTATAATCATGTTTTAACCTTGAGTTAATCAATTTTAAGGTTTGATATGCTTTGGTATTATTCATACCATTCGGTCACATAAACTTTTGCTCAATTTGTCAGACAATTGTTCAGTCTCAATGACATGTGGTTGGGGTATTTGATTGACTTGATGATTGATTGTTCAGGTTATAGTTATCTGAACTAAATAATCGTTCGAATTGATGGTTGACGGTTTGGGTTCTAACTGACCAGACGATCGTACATCTGAATTTTGATTCCAAACTCAAAAATCATTCAGATTGATGACTGTTTGAATCGTGGCTGATCATATGGTTATAAACTATAATTACTCCTTTAAATAATTATTAACGAAAAAAAATATTTATATTTAGATTGTTTTAATTATTATATTTATTTTTCATTAATCAATAACTTAAATTATATAAATAATTTTCACTATTTTAAAAATTTCTATCTTTGTTTTTTTTTTCTATGAAAATTTCCAAATGAAAACTTGTTGTATGAAGGACTTCCCATTTGAAAAAAAAAATTATAGTTGATAGTATGTAAGGAAATTTATATTCCACTTATACGTTATGATTTGATAAGCAGTAATGAACGTGAGATTTCTAACCAATTATGTTTTAATGATTTTTTTTTATACAATTATAAGACAATTTTAAAAATAATTTAAGAAAAGTATGTTCCTCTTTCTTTCTTGTGTATTGTGAGGTATTGCAATGCCAAGATAAAATTAGGAAAATGTGGGGCGGCAATGCGGATAATGGACATACCCTTGCCACTTTTCTTACTCTTTTAATATTAATTAATTATTTAAAAAAAAACTAATAAAAGTGAATGATTTATGTTATTATACACTCGAAATTACCAGTCAAACATTTAAGAAGAATGAAAATATTAAAAATAAGTAAAACTAATAAAATATTAAATCTAAACACTATTTGGTTTACTGAAATTCATAATAAATCACTTTAACATAACCACATAAAAAAATGTGAGTGAATTTTGAAATATAGAATAAGCCAAATTATTAAAATAGTAATAAAAGAAAAAGTATATATATAATAAATTGTGAATATTTTAATAATTTAATGCTTGAGATAACATGATAAAATATTGTAAGGGGTATGGAGTTAGAAACAATATATATAGGTATTACCCATACCTATCCATACCCAATCAATAAATCAATACAGAAATTTTTTGTCAAAATATAAGAGTTTAAACAATACTTATAAGATAAGTTTATTTGTCATTCATACACATGGTGATATATAATTAGATATAAAATATATCAAAATTTTAGAAATAAAACAATAAAGTGTTTGAAATCGAAAATAAAATAGAAAATATTGAAAAAATCATTGTAATGAAAACGATACAATTTTAAAATTAAGATAAGAACGTTTGTTCTCTTTTTTATTTTACAATTTGAACAATCACAAAATAAGTCATACGATTTCTTTAGTAAAGAAGTAAATAAAAATTTATACATACCATTGTTATATTTGTTAATTATATATTTGACTTCATGAGAGATGTGAATTACCTTTTAAATTATTTTCTAAAAAACTTACTCACATATATAAAAAAATTATAAATTTTACAAACTATTGTAGATAATGTGTACATTAAAAAAAAAACTATTTGTTTTATTTTGATAAGAGTTTACTAGTCACTTAAATGTATGATAAAGTCAAATTAAGAAAATAATACTTTTTTTTCGAAAGAAAATAAAGTTTGGATGAGAACTTTCTCTTTTTTATGTTTGACAAACTGTCAACGTCAAGAATGGCAACTATATAAATAATCAAATTCAGAATAGATAATTGTTATAATTAGAAAGTCAACTACAAATACGTTAGCAAAAGTGTGTATAAAAAAGTCAAACTGACTAATCATACAATTACCGTTAGCAAAAGTATATAAAAAGGTCAAATTGATTAATGATTAGAAAAACTTTGGTCAAATAAAATAATTAAATTAACCATTAGAGTGGCAAACAGTTAAATATAGCATGGTAACAATGGTTAATAGAGAAACCTTGGTCAAATAAAACATTTATTTATTTATTTTCTTAATTGTACTTTCCGTCTATTTTATTCCACGCACCTTTCCTCCCTTGTTAATTTACAAACAGTATATTTTATCCATGAAGTTTCCAATAATAACATGGAGACACACTATTCAAAATTATTGGGAATTTTTTAGGGTTTTTAGAAACAAGAGAGGTATATGAAATATATGGAAATATATTTATTGTTGTATTTTATTCATATTATATATATATATATATATATATATATATATATAGAAAATAAATATTAAATATTCATAATATTTCAATTTTGATTTTTTAATTCTCAACAATAATATTCAATTTACAACCTGCAATCTATTTCTAACAACTGCACCACTTTCTTAAAAGCTTTAATTAATTAAAATCCTTTTTTAATTTTATTTTGCATGGGTGGAAATAACAGGTTTATCATTACTTATATATGTGTGTCCAGATTCTTGATAGTGCCACAAGTTTCCTGCACTGCACTCTTTCTCTTTTTTCCATATATATTTTATATTATTCTAAAGTTCTGTCACCATTCTTTGCTTGCATTAATAAAGGAAAAAGATATATATTCAGTTTTTCTGCTGTGTTATATTCAGTTTTACTTAAATATATAATATATATTATATATATATATATATATTATATATATATATATTTTAATACACATTTTTTTACAATATTTTAATATTATATGTCATTTTCTTACTAATTTATTATATTTACATACTCTATATAAAATAAATTTCATTAAGATGACATGAATTAGTTATTGTTTTTTCATGTATAACAAGCTAGCTAGTCATTGATAACGTTATAATTTCTTGTCTGAGCCCTTTTCCTGGAATATTTGACAAACGTTGTCGGCACTGCTTGTCTTAGCGTCTTGAAGAGGCGCTTGGCGAGACGTTGAATCATCTTGTAAAGTGGAAATTGCATTCTCCAAAAGAATGCCACAGGAAAGAACACAGCACAGCAAAACAAAACCGAAGCCCATTTCTTGTGATTCTCCAACCGAATGGTCAGCAAAACTGTTGCACTGAATGTCAGCATCGTGCACACCAGCGAGAAGAAGAGACATGCAAACCCTAAGCTCAGTTTTTGCGGCAGAGACCTTCGGAAATCCCACAGCTCAAAAGGGGATGTCAGGATTGACAGAAACATCACCACTGATGCCAGTGAACTCACAAGTGCCACAACGTCCGTCACGGTGTAAAACAGGAACACACGAGAACCCAGAAACAAAGGCGTGCCATTGTTCTGATTAGTGCCACCTGGGATGGTGTAGGCCGCCGCAAAAACCACCGTGGCTACAAGGACAGCCACGGTTGAGCATGACTGCGCCGTTTCCTTAATCCACCCTTTTGCTTCTTTGTGCATCTCCCGATGTTCCATTTCCAAAACATCTTCCGCTGTTAGCCCGTCTTTGTCGCAGTGCATCAGGTAGTATGTTGGAACAATGTTTTTCACTCGCTGCACCCCACAGATTCAAGTAGTGAGTAATTGAATCTTAAAAGCTTAACAAAATCTCAAGTGAAAATGGGCAATGGCTACAATATTAGAGTTAGACTATGCAGTAATTTTTTCTTGTAAAGGGTGAGATGAATATAGAAGCTTACTTCGTACCAGCGTAACTCGTCTTGGAGTTGGAATGCAACACCAGGTAGGTGCTGTTCTACGTAAAATTCCATTCTCGAAATTTGGTGCAAGAGAGTACGACCTTCTGCTGTTATCCGGAATATCAATGATTTGAATGCTGAATGTTTCTTTAGCATGTTAAAGATCTTCAGCTGACGGTGCTTCACAGCCATGTGTAGAACGTTGTGTTCATCCTGGCTAACGTGACAAATGGCCTCCGGAAACCTGTCAATTATTTTCCCAACGATTTCCACGATTCCTGAGCCAGCTGCCATGAGAAGTGGCGTGTAGTTCTGAGAATGGGGAAAACTTGTTGCGGTGGTTATAGGTCTGGAACTTCTGGAACGAGACATTTCACTGTTGATCTTGTGCATCTCCTTCGTGTGGTGAAGGTGTTTTATCCTGTCGGATTTGGAGGAAAGAACCGGCAATACAATCAAGGGTTGGAAGTTTTCGTGAAACGAAATCTGCCATGAAAAGTCCTTCTCCACTAACAACTCAGACAGATGCTTTGCTAATTTATGCTGCTTCTTTAGTTGCCATATACGTCCAATCCCATCAAACTCTGCAAAATGCATGATCATGCATAAAACCGATCAAACAGAAACTAACTATAAGACACAGTTAATCTAGTTTGTTTTGTCAGTAGTTGACAGATGTTTGAGGATGAGATAGTCTTACCCATGTTAAATCAGATCGCATGAGAACAAAATAAAATATAACATTTGTTAATAATTAAAGCTAGCTGTAACTTGTAACCTTTTGCCAGAGTTCTCCAAATAGCAAAGTTGATCCTCGAAAGAACTGCAATGGTTTATATTTTCCATTAGGAATTTCATTTTCTTAATCCCTGTGTGTGTGAATGAGGTGATTATGCCTGCACATTAACAAACAATTTTCATGACCAGGAGTACCTGAACTAGGCAACTTTGCCTTGTCTTGTTGGCCACTTTCTATATCGTTCCTTTGACGTGTGTAGTCATCAGCACTGCCATTTTCATCATCATCATGGATTTCATATCCTTCCTCAGGAAGCACTGTGTCAGCCAAATTTTAATCCATGAGCACCAGATTATGTTGTGTGTGTGTGTCTATATACCCATTATATTCAAAGGTAAAGTGTGACTTTTGAAAAAATTGATCGAAACATAATATATGTGGATTTGGGAAAATGGAAAATTGAGACAAGAGATATGTACTGTTATATATAAGATTCTTCACTGCTCCCATGGCAGGGGCTTGGCTCCTAAATACAAGTGGCATATTAGATAGAAGTTGAAGACATGTCATTCCATTCATATCCTTGTGTTGAGCTAGTTTCTCATCCATATTCAACAACCAGATAGCAACATCTGTACCAGAAAGATAGAAGCAACACCCCAGTCATTTTCTTTATATACTATCTTGAAAAGTAATATTCTTTAGCTTTTCTTAATTCAACACTTGTCTTTACAAGTGTTGCAGAACGTAAGATAGAGATATAGAACACATAACGAGACACATACGTACCAAAAAACTGTCCAAGAATGCTTGCATGAAGAATGGAATATTTGTCCGATCTAACAAAAAGCCTTCTTATGTCACCCTCAGCATGATTGGCCATATACTTGAGCATCTTAAGCCTGCCGAGTTTAGCAGCCCTGAAGAGAGGGGTTTCACCTGAGTCATTTACGATCTCTAGCAATGGTTTCTTTTCTTCTGTTATGTCTTCTGGTATGTCTTCTGGTGCAGCCTCATTCTCAAACTTCAACACAACAGCAGCCATCTCCACCGTAGTACAGAAGATGATCTCATGGAGAAGGGTGTTATTCACACAATTTCCCTTCCTCAATGCATGCCACCTCTCCTTCTCACTCAGCATTTCCAACAACTCACGGAGAAGCCCTGGATTGTTGGAACGTGTTGCAACGTGAATGGCAGTGTTCCCAAACAAGTCAAAAGGCTCCATCAAACGCTTTGGGTCTTTCTCCAAGATTGTCTTGAACATTCTCCAGCTTCCACTCCTTGCAGCTCTTTGAGCGCTTATCGTTGTCTCATCAAACTGCAACACTCCTTCTGCCATTTCTTTCTCTTTCTCCATTATTGCAAACTCACTCGCTATATATATATGTACTTGCCAATGCACACTCTAGCTAGATAGTTGAATGTGTGCATTTTGATTTAGTTTTGCAATGTGTAAATAAGAGGGTATAATATCATTATTTATATATGTGTGTACCGATTCTTGATTAGTCCCACAAGGAAAGTTTCTTGCACTTTCTCTCTTCTGTATATATGATGTTATTCTAAATTCTTTGCTTACATGAATAAAAGATAATATCGTCAGCAGTTTTTTTATTCTCTGTTGTATATCAGTTTTTCTTTTTCATCTGCTTGTTTTCTCTTATATATGAACGCAGAAAGTTCAAGAAGTGATTAACTTTTGTTTCAGATATGAAAAGAGAGTTTATTTGATTGAAAAATGATTATATAGCACAGTATCACAGGCAACTTTACGAATGTTTGGAATTTGTTTTTTCTTTTGTAGAAGCTCTCCACGCAGTGGCTGTTTCTGATTGAGAATCAATGTCTTTCTGCTTTAAGCTTTTTACCCTAATTAGGTTTGAATGGTGTTCGTTTTGCGTTGATTCAAATTTAACCTAGTACGTTTAATTTAATTCGAATTCAACTTCTCAAAAATTATCATTTTAAATGATCTGTTATTAATATAACAAGAACGAGTTATTGGAAAGAAAAATAGCATCATAAAACATTAAACATAAAATAATTATAAAAATATAAATTTTTATATTTAAAAAAAAAGAATAATATTAAACGAATATAAAAAATTTATATGTGTCAAAATATATATATTTTTTAATTTCGTTTACTTTTTAATTTTAGATAAATGAAATAATTCTACTAAATAAGTTTTATTGATTTTTTATAAAAGAAAAAGAAAAAAGATATTATATATATAATAGAATATTTGAGATGTCTAATTTTTTTTTAGTATATCTATATTACACTTAATATAACAATATTAAGAAAAATATTATAATTGGGCAAAACACTGGATCTAAATTAAACTTAAAAAAACATAATTATTTTAATTTTTTCTGCTAATATATCTAATTTATTTATCTTAGACTTCACAGTGAAATATTTTTCTTAAAAAAGAAAAAAAAAAGTATGGTAGTAGAATTAGTGTGAACCACTGAGTGAAGGTGAAGTGGTTGAAATCACCGGCGAAGGCCGTTAGGATAAGGTAGAGAGAGAAAACACAGAGAAGACGAGAATGGCCACTCTGCAATTCACCTTCATCGACTCAACCTCCTTGTTCAGGCCTTCTCTACATTCTTCGCGAACCTTCCCTCGGAATCGAAGCCTTCTCATCAAAGCTTCTTCTTCTTCTTCTTCCGACGACATTTCTCGGAGCAGGAGACGCTTCCTCGCCGAAACTGCCGCAATATCGGTTTCGCTTCCTCACTTTCCGGCGAGGGCCGAAGACACGCTTTCGGAGTGGGAGAGAGTGTACCTCCCTATCGACCCCGGCGTCGTGCTTCTCGACATCGCTTTTGTCCCTGACGACCCCAACCATGGTATTGTAATTTTGTAATATTCTGTCGTTTCGCCTTGAATTCTATTGGTTTGGTTTGAATTGGAGTTGAATGAATGAGCGGTGTTCGTATTTTAGGTTTTCTTCTCGGGACGAGGCAAACAATTCTGGAGACGAAGGACGGAGGAAACACTTGGGCTCCGCGTTCGATTCCCTCTGCCGAAGATGAAGATTTCAACTACCGCTTTAATTCTATCAGTTTCAAGGGGAAGGAAGGCTGGATAGTTGGAAAACCTGCGATTCTGTTGTACACTGCTGATGCTGGAGAAAGCTGGGAGAGGATACCTCTCAGCGCTGAACTTCCAGGGGATATGGTTGGTTATGCTTATGCTTATGCATTGTTATTCATTCTAATAATAATATTTGTGTTTATTTATGTGTTGTGAAAATTGTGCTGAAATGTAATGGGATGTATTGCAGGTGTACATAAAAGCGACTGGTGAGAAGAGTGCAGAGATGGTCACTGACGAAGGTGCAATATACGTTACTGCTAACAGGGGTTACAACTGGAGAGCTGCTGTTCAGGAAACTGTGTCAGCTACTCTTAACAGGTGAGTTTCCAATAATGGACAACTGTCTATGTGTGCATTGAACTGTCACGGATATGGCGTGTAGTGTCCTAATGCTACTCATTCAAAATAGTAAGTGATGAGTTAATAAAATTGAAATGTTTGAGTTTTGCTGAACGGTGAGTGTTGATGGGTTTGTTTGTTGAAGAAGTTTGTCTCACTTGGCTTTGTGCTTCAAAAACTCATTCATTGGGTTATCTTTTGTATTATGTGAATGTTGAACATTTTCAATTTTTATTTGTCAAGGCATTTATCTATCTGTGTTGCTTCTTCAGAACAGTTTCTAGTGGTATTAGTGGTGCAAGCTATTACACTGGGACTTTCAATACTGTCAATCGCTCTCCAGATGGAAGGTATGTTGCAGTCTCAAGTCGGGGCAACTTCTACTTAACCTGGGAGCCTGGTCAGGTGAGGATTTTATTTCAGGATGACATTTTTTTTGCCTCTGTTGTGTCTGGTACTTGTGCTATGCCGTTCCTATAATTTGAATTATGAGAAAATGTTCGCTTGGAATGAAATTATCAATATGAAAATTCTGAAGTAGCAGCCATAAGCTGGTCAGGTGGAACAGATTACATCAGTTACTGAAGTATGAAAATATTCTCTTTGATGTTGGGTCTTCTTGGGTGTCAGGTTCAAAATGTAAGCTAAAGTGATGTACAAAACTTTCCTTTTGGATTTGTCCTAGAATTTCTTTTCTTTGTTTTCATCCAGTTGATTCCCTAGATAGAATATACCTCCGAGGAAAAATAATTATTTAACAACAGACAAAATCAGAGGATTTTCTCTGTTTTTTTTCATCAGTTTTTTTACTGTAAAAAACTTTTCTTCCTTTCTCAATGCATGATGATTCTAAAGTCTATGGTGATGCATTAGCTCTTCCTTAGGATATATACATCAGATAGTGGCTTGTATAGATTATTTCTTTTCTATTTAACCATGAGATATACCATTGACTGGTGATTTGTCTTCTGCTTAATATTTGGTAATACCTGTTTTATTTTATTTTATTTTATTTTCAGCCGTTCTGGCAGCCACATAATAGAGCAGTTGCCAGAAGAATACAGAACATGGGATGGAGAGCTGATGGTGGTCTTTGGCTTCTTGTTCGTGGAGGTGGTCTTTATCTCAGCAAGGGCACTGGGGTAAGTAATTCTGAGAATGTATTGCATGGTATGAATGTGAGATAAAAGTCTTCCATTTCAGTTCTTACCATTGCCACTGTGGATAATCTTTTAAATATTTTCGTAAGTCTTAAATTACTTTTAATTTTGTTACCCTTCCTCACTCGGACATTTCCATCTTTATGTTATACGTTCATAGACTGCTTTTTTCTCCCTTCTCTCATTTATTAACAAGGAAACTTCTGTCTTTGATCAAAGATCTTTCTTGCATTCACTTTCCTTTTGTTGTTGTCGTGTGACACTAAGTGCATGTTTGGAAATGGATTGATTTTGGAAAATAATGATTGCCTGGTACATGTTTTATCAAATTTATCTGTGTTCCCAATTCAACTAGCCCAAAATGTTTGAGTTGCATCTTGTTAAACTAGGGAGAAGTTGAAGAGAGTTATAGGAATGAGATCTATTTCTAAGAAAGCTTTCAAGTGCTTGAAACCTTTTTGTTTCTGTTGTTATTGTACAAAGTAGGATATATTTCTAAACTGATGAATTAAAATCTGTTGATAAGAGATAATTGGCGCTGTTGCACTTTTTTGCTTGCTGTAGATGTCTGCTTCATTTCTCTCCAAGTATGAGCAAATATAAATTATTGTTTCAGTTAACTGAAGAATTTGAGGAGGTTCCTGTCCAAAGCAGGGGTTTTGGCATTCTTGATGTCGGATATCGTTCAACGGTAAAGTGTTCCTTCATTCAAAGAATTGCATTATTAAGTAAGCAATTCTTGCGTGTATCAGTCTAGCCACAGGTTCCAAAAGAAAAAAAAAACATTTGAAATATTAATTCAGCCTCTACAGTTCTTGCAATATTTGTTTTAATTTTTAAACCAGAGAGCAATGCGGAAGCCATTCTTTTGTATATGTAATTTGCTAAATTATGTATGCAGGATGAGGCTTGGGCAGCAGGAGGAAGTGGTATTCTTTTGAGAACTACTAATGGTGGCAAGTCATGGATCCGCGACAAAGCTGCTGACAACATTGCTGCAAATTTATACTCAGTGAAGTGAGTCTAGCTATTACTCAGCCTCAAATTTATAATTATAGCTATTTATTTTCTACCCTTTAAAAACTAAAATTTACTTGGGCAAGTTCCCTGCCCAACCACACCAGGCTCCACATGTTGCCTTTTTTTTAATATTTATATTTGAGTAAATCACACTCATCTGCCCTATCTTTCTTCAGATTTGTCCTTACCCCCATGTTTGGAGACTTGTACAAAACTCCTTAATTGTTTTAACAACATTACACTAACACCCCTTATAAATTTCACTAATTTCTCCTAATTGTTTGAGAAATTTTATGTGTACCCTTATAAAGGAGGTTGTAGTAAACTTAAAGAAAACAAATATATTATGTGCAATCTGAAAAAAAATATTATGGAATGCCAATATAATTTACCCTTTGTATTTTTTATTTGTCTTTATGATACTTTTCAATTTTATTATGAATGCAGTTGACTAGTAGTAGATTGTTATTTTTTATGTTTTAAAAATAACGGAAAGACAAAATTTCCAGGAAAGAGTGTACAGGAGTTTTTAGAATTGGTTAATGCTAATTTGAAGGTTATAAAACTTGAGTAAGTAAAATCTTCTTGTATATGGTCTACTTGCTGCAGGTTCATTGATGACAAGAAGGGATTTGTATTGGGGAATGATGGAGTTTTGCTTCGCTACCTTGGATAGAGTTGTAATTCATCATGGTAAGTAATGTTTTACTCCTTATTCTGGAAGACATTAGCAGCATATCTTTGAATATCACTTGTAGTTTTTAGAATCTGAAAAGGACATAAGTGCACCTTCCT